GCAGTTTATTTAATTATTGGCCAATACCCATAATACAGGGTAAAACAAAATGCGTGCATTTTTTACAAAATTTTAAGTGACCTCCATTTTGTGGGGGATGGAGGATTTCCATTATTTGTGGGTATTTTAAAAGAGCTGTTTTATACCTCGGGACGTTTTTGAGTTTTTTTTGGGGTATCGCTCTCCATTGCGATGTTTTCCTTTTTTTATGATTTTCGGTAAGGTTTTAATTCTAATAAATTTATCTCATTATGAAATTAATATATTGTATTTTTGAGTATTATGCGTATTAACTAATGATTATACTAAGTGATTATACTGTATCCTTAATGAAAAAGTGTTAAATGCTTCTTTGTTATGCCAAGATACATAATAAAACCTGTTCATATAATTTAAATATACCAGCTAGATAAATTTTTAACGCCCTGTATAACTGTAACACTTTTTAGTTTTATAAAATTATTTGTTTGCTTTATTTAATTGTACGTTAAAATGTATAATGCTTAAAAATACGATATCTTCATTTCACAATGAGATAAAATTATTAGTATTAAAACTCTACCGACAATCATAAGAATATCGAAAACATCGCAATGGAGAGCGATACCCAAAAAAACTCATAAACGTCCCGTGGTATAAAACACCTCCTTCAAACTACCTACACAAAATGGATTTCCTCCATCCCCCCACAAAATGAGGCTCACTTAAAATTTTGTTAAAAATGCGCGCATTTTTGTTTTACCCTGTATTATGGGTCCTGACCAATAATTGAAAAAAAAAACTGCAAAGAACGGTTCTGATAGTCGATAAAACAATGTTTTAGAATCTGGCTGGCAAATTCAAAATTCCTTCAAAAGTTTAAAAATAGAAGAAGTTATAATAAGAAAATATTACAGCCTACTTCCTTAACACATTTTCTTAATATTTCATATTGATATTTTGTTAAAGATGCGTCAAGAATTAAACCCAAGGCTTTTTAGAGTCAATATACCTCATAGGATCAGCTTGTTTTTTTTTGTATTTGTTCTGCTGCTGCGATTATCAATTCATCCGAAAAATCCTCTCGAAGTTTTTTTTATTTTATTTTGCTTACTTCTTTACACAAATCTTCAAAAGGTTTCTCTGGGCGACCTCCGACAGACTTAAGGGATGACTCGTTTTCGGATTCATGATCAGATTCAGGAAAATTAACCAAAAACTCGCCCTGCAACTACTCACTATACTTCCGAAAAAAATTCGTTTCACATGATGCACTTCTCTCAATTTTTTGGCAAAGTTGGGTTGAAATCTTTTTTTTATGGCTCGAGTTACCAGCAACAACCGCTCTCCTTGTAATTCTGGATACTGTTCCCTTAAACCTTGCTCTAAAGGGTACTCGCGGTTAAAGAGTAACTCGCACACAACACTGTATGGTATCACAAATTGCGACATGTTTACTATCCAGCTAATAAGACAAATCCAACAACAATACTGATAAAGTTTCATATCAAAATTTATCTAAAATCGGTTTTCGGCATCCGCAAAAATGAAGAAAGTAGTTTTAATTTTTTTCACACCGTTTATCTTTTATTTTAAATTTTTAACAAACTTGGCCGAATCTGGCGATAAAATTTATAGAATCACTACTTTAACAGTTGCTTTTTTTAGTCAAATTAATCCGAGACCAAAGCTTGGTAAAGCCTGATTAAAGTAAGAAGTAAAGTAATTTTATTAGAAATAGGTTCAACCTAAACTGCACCAATGGCACGGTATATTTTGGCAAAATGATTTTTACTTTTAATGCCCATGGATAAACGAAACAGTTCCTGGGTAATACCGATTTTTAGGAATTAAAAGTATGTGCTGTAAAATATTACTTGTTTTCACTTTATTTTTGCGCGTTTCGTATATTAAGAAAATTGTCAAAAAGGAAGTGCTGTAAATTCAAAACTAGTAATTAAATTAAAAAAGTAATATTATTATATTGTCTTTGAACTAACTCGATGTAAGATGGGATAATTTAAACCCGATTTAACACCCTCTTTTTTGGGGGGTTTTTTCCATTGCCGAAACCACTGTGCGCCGCCGGCATGGCACCACTGAAATACGATCTCTATAAATCGCAAATTGTTGGCTTACAACCACTCTTACCGATACTCTTTTTTAGTGTAAAGTGAGTCTGCAAGGTCGTTTTCCGTTCGCTTCGTTCATTCGCCTTTCCATGTATACAGGGTGTCTCGTTTAGTATAAGGTTCCGTTCAATATATTCGCATACAAGCCCGTTCCTCAAATGGGTAGCGCCATGGTGCAACTTTTTTTTGGCGCCCCATACAAAAGCCATCAATTACTATCGAAGAGGAAGGGGATCCAAAATTTTACCAATATGGCTGGTATTTTTTGACATATACATTTCTGATTAGACACCAGTATGCTTCTACCGTATGATCGAAAAAAAAAACGGCGTCAGCGATGGCTATGAAATGCAGATCGCTGTCATTTTATATGTAAACTAGCGTGTACCAGCGACTTCGTTCGCGTCGAATTAATCATTTGTAATGCTGATGATAAAGCAAAGCAAGAATTTCCATTAACATACAAACTGGATAAAATTTTCTCACATTTATGTCAGCATGAGAAAAAAATAACTTGGTAATATTTGAGGGGTAGTTTCATCTCGTTGGAATTTGACTTTCGAAAAATCCGTTTGCCAAAAGTAACTTTTTACGTCAAGCAGTTTAAGCAGAACCGTGGTTAAGAAATTACCCAACTTTTTGGAACACCTTGTATGATTTTTTAAGAAAATTTCAAAATATGTAAAAAAACAAAATAAATTATGCGTGTCCAAGCGTTTTCCCGAAAGACTAACCGTTTTTTAAATAACAAATATTGTAATATTTGAGGGGCGTTTTCACCCTCTTGGAATTTGAGATTCGAGAAACCCCTCCTTATCGAACCTCTACACCCCACAGTCAATCCGTTTGCCAAAAATCAGCTTTAAACGTCAAGCAGTTTAAGCTGAATCGTGATTACTCAATGGTCATATTTTATGAAACACCCTGTATAAATTTATAAAAATCTTAAAATATGTAAAACAACAAAAGAAAATATACATGTTTAAGAGTTTTTCCACTCACTGGTTTTTAAATAAAAATATTTTAATATTTGAGGGATTAGTTTCACCCCCTTAGAATTCGAGTTTCGAAAAATCCCTTCTCATCGAACCTCTACACCCTAAAATCAATCTGTTTTCCAAAAATCAGCTTTTTGCGTCAAGCGCTTTAAACACGATCGTGATTAACGATGACCAGATTTTTCGAAACACCCTGTATACATTTTTAAAAAATCCTAAAATATGTAAAAAACAAAATAAAATATACGTGTTTAACTGTTTTTTCGGAAACTTGACCGTTTTTTAAATAAAAATATTGTAATATTTGAGGGGTGGTTTAACCCTCTTGGAACTGGAATTTCGAAAAATCTCTTCTTATCGAACCTCTACACCCTAGAATCAACCTATATGCCATAATTGTTCCTTACGTTGAGTGGTTTGAGCAGGATCGTGATTAATCAGTATGTCAGTCACTTAAGGATTTTATATATTAGTATAGATTTATACAATATAAATATATAACAATATAAATTATACAGGGTGCTGCAACAGTACGTCGGCCATCTGTTATAAGGTCCCATAAGAAAGAAGCTATGAAGTTCATTTTCGACAGAATCAATAAAGAAAGAAATAAAATCAGTATTTTTTCATGCGTCAAATTTTTATCCAACAAATAAAACGCTATTTGGAAGTTCAGGTTCCATATAGAATATCTGGGAGATAAGATTATTTATCTAATAGATATTGCTTTCTATAGTTGAAGGTACACGTTTTTATCTGCCAAATAAAATATATCGGCGAATTATTCAAACCTGAAAATACTGGGAGTCAGAGTTATAATCAGATATTGATGAAAAAATTGCGGATGTATCTATTTCTTAAAGAGTATATTATACTGTAACACCCTGTATAGGAGAGAACCGAACTGCCAACAAATTACCTTGAGTGCAACGGCAGCGGTATTACCATTCACTTTTTGTAGCGAATTATTTTTGTTTATAATGCCTTAACTCGTAATATAACCTTTTTATTTGCCAAAGGTAAAATAATAACTTAACACTCGGTTTAGTGAACGTTACTCTATGCTATAGGTGGTTTGCTGATAAAGTCGGAGATATAGAATAATCACAATAATTATAATACAAAATAACAAATATAAATATAAAAAACTCATTTAGAGCAGGAAAGGCGAAGACGCTGGATTAAAAATAGTCTTGACTAAGGACACTGAGGGGCGCTTTGACCTAAAATTTTACTATTAAGTTTCATACCTATCTTACTAGATAGTTATTTTCTTTTATCTATACCACTGAGCATTTTTAGACACAAAATCGAAACAAAATCTCTGCTTAGAAACATTGCGAAACAGTTTCGTCACATTTTTGATACTTGTGTTTCGTAACATAAATCACTTTTTGTTTTGAATGATTTTACCAAAATATGATTTTGCTACATAAGCTATAACAATAAAGATGTTAGTGTCTCAATTTTTTCGAAACTTTTTAGAAACAGATATGGCTCACATTTACAGATTTCGTATCCATTTTGTGCCTGAAAAGTTTCCATAATTTATTTGATTGTTAAATATGAGAAAATAACCTTACTTTAATTGTTTAGATTTTGTCCTGCAGTTCGGAGGACATATGGTGAGTACAAACAGTTAGTAAAATATTTTTATGTACTGATATTACAAACTATTTGAAATAAAAACAGAAAACGTAAATTCCATTAAATTGAATGTGCATTAAATATTTTTATTTACGGAGATAACAAACTATTTGAAATAAAGTTGATAAATTTTTGTGAAAAAAAAACTCAATTTATTTCAGAATCTAAAAATTTTTTACTAACATTTTTTTTTCATTATTAGTCATTTATTATATATATTTATATAATTATTATCCTATATTACCTCTTAATACTTCTACATTTCCATCACCCATCGTCAAACTGATTGTAACTCCCGGATTCACGTGCAAATACACCACATATTCCTCCCTAGTCCGACCCTGAGCACTCGCGGACGACGGTCCAGGACCGGCCGCGTAAAACCCCGCCCTCTGCGGCTCGAATCCCGGCCCGAAATAGAACTTTGCCGGCGCGCCACTGGTCGCCGCGCCCGAGGACACGCCCCCGTTCGCCATAGCCACGCCCCCTTCGCCGTTCATGCTGATCACGCCCCCGTTGCACATCTCCGCGCACTGAGGCGGGGGAAACGGACAGTGGTGGTGGTGAATGAAGTAGTGGAAAGGGGGGTTGTGGACGTTGTGAAGGTGGATGGGGTTAAGGGAGGAGAATGCCGATGGATCCACGCAGAAATTAGAGTGGGAGTTCTTGTAGGAGTTTGGGTGGAGTGATTTAAAGGGGCGTGACTTGCGCGAGGGGACGTAACGGGTTATAGAGGAGGTGGAGGGTGTGGATGAGGTGGTGGGGGATGTCGCGGTAGGGTCCGCCATCGATGGTGGGAGGTCGTCGTGCACTTTCACCATTTATGAGAGTTTTATGGTAGGGTAAATCTGAAAATGAAATAAAATAAATTAGACTAGAATAAATATATGATTGTAATTCTGTAATTGTAATCTGCATTAAACTTGTGCCAAGTCTAATAGCAATCTTTAAAAAAAAATAATATCATTAACTTGTGAAAGTTTTTAATAAGTACTCATTGATTCCTCATAAAAAATATGAAAAAAAGTTAGAGTAGTTTTAGAGTTACAGGATGTTAATAGCATTATTTTTTATATGAAATTGCTGTAAGTTGGAGCAAGAGTAATAGTAATAATATTTACTAATAAATTAAGTAAAATCTATAATTTATTAAATTTATTTTTATATATATATATTTTAATTTTATTAATTGCGTTTATCTCATCAAGGAGGCCGAATTCCACAAAATACCAAGAGGTAACTTTTAATAGTCATTAAACAATCTACACAATTTTGATATCAAAAGAAAAAGTCAGTGGTACACATGTTTCTTTTGAAACATATTCTATGCACGACACTGATGAATTTATCGACACTTTTTTAGCTTTAAAGTATATCGCATTTATAGTAACTTTTACTCTCAAAATTTTAATCGAATCACTAAAAGTACTTGGAAGGAAATTATAATAATCGAAAAAATATTAAGACTAACACCCTGTAGCTACGAAACAAAACAGAATCGGACCTGTGTTGATATGAAAAATAAGACTTATTTTTACGTGAGGAATCTCCCCACGAGACATGTTTTTTGAAACACCCTGTATAGTCACTAGTGAAAAGTTTCGTTACTGCACGCTACACAACCAACTATTTTACAGTCTTTTTGGATAAATCGCAATAGTGTTACTGTTAATTTAAGTGCTGCCATAATTTCCTTCTAGGTTAACTACCTTTTAACAACTATCATAGTATATGGAATAAATAATAAATAACGTAAAATAAGCTCAGTAAAGACTGACAAGTCCACAAAATTTCAAATCAAATTCATAAACAGAACTGTAAAGGATCCCCACCATAGGACCCTCTCTCTGTCTACCACGCATGAATACATGGATAATACACGGCATTATACTCCTTTCTACAGTGTCAAATTCTTCATAAAATATCTTTTAAATAAAACCTTTGACAAACAAATTTCATGGAATAATAGTAGCCTTCTAGTGGCAAAAAACACAATTATTTTGAAAAAATCTTTCTATTTACCTAAATTTGCAAAAAAGTGTTAAAAATCTGCACTAAACCCAATTATACACATATGTGTATTGAAATATTTACTCCTACAGAACCTCAAAATAGACCTACTATCTTTCGTTAACTGTGATTAACGTCAACTACTACTCACGCACGATAAAAAACGTCGTTTCCGCATTATTCCTGCGGCAGCCTGTTGCCAGGCGAGGGCGACCTAGTGTGGCGACGCCGCGTGCGGGGGCGTCCCTAACGTCCAGACGCCGACCGTCGGAGTCTGGAGACGCTGGAGCGGCTAGACGAAGGATGCTGGCACGCGACGGCGGCGATGGCCTATAATCATCGACCGCCACGAGGCATATAGGTACTTTTTTATTCAGTAATAATAAGGGGCCGTTCTCTACCGGAAACACTGCGACCTGTGAGGCCTATTGTATTTGTCCCCATTTCTATGTCTGCACCCATTCTCCTATCCCTATCCCTGTTATCAGAAACCGCTGGAAAGAGCATTACAGACATATCCTTAACCAAGAAAACAACCCCAATATGGAAACACTAAACACAATACCTCAGTACAATAGCCTCGATGTATTAGATATCCGAATAACAGAAAAGGAAATAAAGGCCTCCATAAAACAGCTTAAAAACAACAAATCAGCTAGCTGTGACGCGATTCCTGCGGAAATCTATAAGTGTGCAAGTAAAGGACTTATTGCTCATCTTAAGGCTCCTCTTCGATGTCATATGGAAAAGCGGAGAGGTACCTCAGGACCAGGGGCGGATACAGGAATTTATTTTAGGGGGGCCCAAATAAAAAGTAATGTAGAAAAAGCTTTTTAGGGCTCAATTTTTAACCAAAAAGCCTAATATTTAAAGCAATTTATAGATTTTAGGGGGGGCCAAGGCCCCATGGGCCCCCCCTCTGTATCCGCCACTGCTCAGGACTTCTGCAACGCGAAGATAGTTACCATAAAACAGATTATAAAGAATAAATCAGCTGGGGGTGACGCGATTCCGGCGGAAATCTACAAGTGTGCAAGTAAAGAACTTATTTTAAGGCTCTCTTATCTCTTATCTTAAGGCTCTCTTCGATGTCATATGGGAAAGCGGAGAGGTACCTCAGGACTTTTGCAACGCGAATATAGTGAATATATTTAAGAACAAAAGTGCATCAGACTGCGGAAATTATCGGGGAATTTCACTATTGTCTATCGGATTTTTCTTCCGATCCTGCAAAAATTATGTCAAACCGCCTGCACCCACATATAGAAAAAATCCTTCCAGAATCGCAAACGGGTTTTTGCACCCCGGCACCGTCGTGTCGATTCGCCAACTAAAGGAAAAAGTAAAAGAACAGCAGTCTAAACTTTATGTTGCAATTATCGACCTAACAAAAGCCTTCGGCTCTGTGAACAGAGATGCATTTTGGGCAATTAGGAAAAAGTTTGGAGTACCCAACAAATTTCTTACAGTGTGTAAAAGCCTCCATAACAACAAGTTAAAAGTGTTCCATCATGGATGACTGAGCGATCCCTTCCTAACAAATACAGGAGTTAGGCAAAGATGTGGAAGCGAAACCTGGGTGCCGTACCGTCGACACATAAACGCATTGAACAAGTCGCAACAGAGACCTTAGACAACTCTTAAGGATCAAATGGTTCCATCATGTCTCAAACGTATCGGTCCTTGAAAAAGCTAACTGCGAGAGTATTGAATTCACGGTTACAAAATCTCGCTTAAGATGGGCTGGTCACGTATGCAGAATGCAAGAAAACCGCATACCAAAATCTCTGCTTTACGGTGAGCTTGTAGACGGTAAGAGGATGCCGGGTGAACAACTCAAAAGGTACAAAGATATTTTCCACGAAAACTTAAAGGGAATTAACATGCAGAATCAGTTGGAAGAAGCAGCTCACAATAGAACTCGATGGAGAAAAATTGTAAACTCAGTTAACAGCGGCAACCAAAAAGTAAAGAGGCAACAAAGCAATGAGATTTTTGAATGTCCGGAGTGCGGTAGGCAGATAAAATCACGTATCGGGCTTTTCAGTCACAGAAAAGCTCATGAAAGAAAACGTCTTGCATGACCATCTTCTGATGTGTGTCGAATACTCGTCAGCGAGTAATGGCAGTATGTATGTAATAATGATTTCAGTCAAAAATATAGACTTGAGTCATAGAAACGATTTAAATCACGTTAAATTGATTTGATTTACGTCTTTATATAAATGACTTGACTTGAAATAAAACGATTTAAGTCAAAGACTTAAGACATATCATTTTGACTTTATGTTAAAATTGACTTAAGATTTAAATCATTTTGATTTCTCAGAAATGACTTGAGGTTTCAAAATAATATCAAAAATAACAACACAATTAACTACAAGTCATCGACAAACACAAGTAAACAAATCAAGCCTTAAAAACTCTTCTTGCTGTTTCTTTTTTATTCGTTATCGCTGGAAGTACCCAAGAAAGTGAATCCCCTTGAAAATGTTACCTGCAACCAGGATCTCCCTCTCTATCTCACACGGGAGAGCAAAATAACCATAAAAAAGGTGCATTAAATCTTTTGCAAATATGGGAGCGGTGCGCCGGGTACCGGTGACATGGAATGGTACCAGCGGAGTGGTATCGACGTGGAGGGAGGGGGGTTGACCGGAACCCAAATAGGGATGGGGAGACTTAAATAAAGTATCGATAACTCGACTATCGATGTTAAGAAATATTCAAATTGATTTCCAAGCTGATTTCCAAGGTGAGAAAGAGATTTAAACATCTACTAAAACAAAGAAGGAACTGAGATAAAAACAACTAAAAACAAAAAAGAACAGTGTGTGCACTATGTGTGCATATTTGAACTGAAACTTCTTAAGCCCCATACTCACACTTCGCTACTTCACTTCGTTCCTTCGTCGCGTCCCTTCATCCAAAAATCCTATATTTACTATGGGAAATTGTCGATTTGATGCGACTGTGTGTGTGTTCCTTCGTCAAAACGCTCCTTCGTCCGTTTACTTCCTGAAAGCGCTCCTTCCCCGCACTGTCGGTTTTTGGACGAACTAGCAAAGTAATTATTACGAACACAAAAAAATATTAAAATATATAAATCGATCTTGGATTTCATTCGTAGATGATTTCTTGATTTGGCAGTTGATAGTCTGTACAGGGTGTCCCATTTTCGTGTGTTTTGCAGGGTTTCTCGCTTATGAGTCGAGATACAAAAATGCGGTTTTCACATTACGCTGTTACTTTTTTATGAAACTAAAGATGCTACATACAGATATGTCCTAGCTCTCTTACTTCCTAAAATACAGGGCGAATCTGAAATTGTTGCATTTTTCGATCCCCTTTGTATCTCGGTTATCTTATAACTTATCGCAAAGGTGAAAACGGTGTCTCGTAGAGTTTTTCACTTAGAATGCAGTGAAGTAACTAGTTCTTCGTTGGAATCGTCTTTTTTAAATATGACTAAAACTCTAAAATATGTTTTTTTAAATGCGATATTTTGTATATTATTTTATTTTTCTTGTTACGGGCTTTCTAAAATATTTATTTGACTCGCCTTGTACATTCATACTGGTATACCTTGTACATGATACTGAGATATTCGGATTTATTAAAAAAAAAATTATATTATTAAAATTCAATTCTTATTTTTGACACGACAAAGAATTGCAGCTCGAATTGCAGTTTTATGAAATAATTCGTAATAAACATGTAACTGCTTTATTAAAAATATTTTGTGGTGTGTTGTTGCATAATCGACTAATTTCCTAGCATCGAATGGACGAAAGAACGAGACGAAGGGACGAAGGAACGAAGTGAA